AATATTATTTGAGTTTAAACTTTATTATATAGCTGCCAGTTTTTTTAAATTTTGTTCGTGTGTCCTCATGCATAGATAACCAATTGTAATATCTGCTAAATAAATATACATCTTTTACGAAATTTTTACATCAAAAACTTATTTCCGAAAAATCGATAATAACAGATCTGCGATTATTATTTCGTTCTCAGTTCGCACTTACCCTCCAAGGACATACGCAAAAAACGCGACAAAAGCAAGCAACAAAAACTTAGGCATACATGCTTATCTATAATATAGATTCTATATACATATACAGTGACACCTCGATATAGCGAAGTTAAAGGGGTTGGATAAATGCTTCGTTATATGAGCAAATCTAACGAGTTTTTTTTAAGTCACGCCCTTCTCTCGGCACAAAAAAAACGCTAAAGCATTCTTCTTGCATTTATTTCATTCAATGGAGTTCCAGAAACAAGTACAATAAAAAGTAAATTAAGTATTTGAACAATTTTAGCTTAAAAATGTTTATTTGGGCGAAAAAGTACCGAAATTGCTCATGTTTCATTGTCACGCAAAAAAAAATCTAAATTGTTTTTTATTCAAATAGCTTTGGGAAGTTTTCAAATAAATTGCTCTTATTAGAGACAATGGACGTTGGCATCAAATACAACATATCTGTGAAGTCTCAAGCGTGTACCACGAATTAAAAAAAAATTGGCAGCGTGCAGAATATCTGTCGCAGCTATTTTGTAATTTTTGAAATTTAAAGTTTTTTTTTCAATTTTAATAACTTAAGATACTTCAAAAGATTAAATTTAAACGGTGAAAATGTTCTTCTTGCCAAAACAAACAAGTCTAGTGTAATAAAACCAATGTGTCTCCAAATGAAGAAAAATTACATTGAGCAAAAAAGATGGCTATGATTTGAGAAACTAAAATATCATTTTTACAATTTTTATTGGCACACTCGAAATTCATTGCGAAATTGTTTTATTCATGAAGAAAGCAATAAACATGTGCATAAGGAATATTGTTTAAAAATCTTCCACGCCAACATTTAATTACTTTCAAATAATATGACTTTTAAATGAAGGCGCGTGAGTAAGCGTGTTAGATGACTGCGTATGGTGCTACGGGGCATATATGTACGTTACATGGGCAACTACGGGTATATAAGCATAAGTTGTTATAGTATTTACTTTTTTTAGTTTTCATTTAAATACAATTTCGCGATGGAATCTTGTCCTTTGTGCAAAACTAAAGATAATACATTGACCAAGAAAACTGTGCCACCATTTTGGACCAAAAATACGTTTTTGCCGAAAAATGTTACAACTGGTGAGATTTGCTCATATATTTACTATATAGAAAATCAAAGGTTCGATACAACGAGAAAAGCCAAGTTAAATAAAAATCGTTATAGGTATAGTTTCTTTTTGTTATAACGGGACTCTAATCGTCAACATATTCAGAATACGCTATGTAGAGGATTTTGTGTTGATCCTTCGGAAAGTTTTCAGCTATTCTTCTTTATACATTTTTACTTAGATATATCTACTCAATAAAAAAGTTGCTATATTCAATTTTCCGTTTTATCGAGGCTTCAGTGTATACATATATGTAAATATATACAAACATACAGACACTATGCGATTATGATGAAGAAATGATTAATTGCCGAAGAATGAGGAGGATGAATGTTTATGATTTTATGAGGAATTCAATTGGAGCGACAGTTGCACATAGGCAGACAGACGAAATGCAAGCAGGCAGACACTGATGGATATGAATGAAGGGCTGACTGCCTGGCTGACTGAATGGATGTACGGATTTCAAGGATCACAGACTGACGAGCAAATGACAAAGATGGGTTGAGTGCGACAACTGGAACTACAAATGAACCTCGATGTAGTGAGCAAGTGGCACAAATGTGCATACATACATATGTATGTAGGTTTAGATGTGCGTAGTTCCGGCATAATGATGGCAAAAAGGACGATGGCTGATGTAAATTAAAAGTCTGGCAAAAGCAATCGCTCTAACTGTGCAGTGCGTACTGTTTACGCAATTCTTGTTGCCTTTTGTAAATGCGTTGCTTCATACATATTCAATTAGCAAGCAAGTGAGTGAGTGAGTGAGTGAGTGAGTAACAGAGGTCGAATAGACGAAAAAGCACACAAAAAATATCCGAGAATGTTGCTCAGCCGAATGATGGTCATGGCTATCATTTGGCTCTCCAACCTGCCTCACTGTTTGCTCTATATGCACATGTCTCTAAACTGCTTTGTTTGCCAGTATCCCTGTGCCATTTTGTAAGCGATAGTATGCAAATTGTTGCAAAAACAACAGCAAAAAGTTTGTACGCATGCATCAGCAGCATCCTGGCTATTAGCCGGATATAGACAGCTCGGAAATGCAAATTAGCTAATAAGGCAGCGCCAAGTGTGCATAGACTCAAACATGCACATACGCACGGCAAAAAACATGATACATACATAAATGGGATACATGAGAGAATCAGTGAAAAAGAGCACACAGCCGCAGCCAAACACCCACTCTACCTTTTGCCATTTGGAGCGGATGGCAGCTTAATGCCCACTACTACCAATGCAAGCGGCGGCCGTGTGATGACCCTTCATAATATGGGAAATGATCTTGACAAGAATGATTGCATGTTCGCATAATTAAAACCATTTGTAAGCTCATGCTTACAAGGACATACATACATACATATAAACGGTTCAATGTCCATTTGGCAACAAGAAATGTTGCCACTAAAGCGCTACGCAGTGAAAATAATGATAGCTATATCGACGGTGATTTTATTGTTGCTGATGGTAGTACGCTGAGATTTCGCCTTGTTTTTGCTGTTATTATTAATGACTGTCGGGAGTTGTGTTGATGATATGAATTCTCGAGCACATTTTGAATACTCAAAATGACGGTTGTGCGGCGACCAGACTCAATTGTTGTCACTGTATTATGAAATCGATATTAGTCTTCGATAGTTTATGACACATTCATAAAAGTACTCATAACTGCCATGGATTGTGTGCTGGCATTGGGACCCGCCTCCTGAAAACTGCATCCAGCGAAAAGTCTTGAAAAGCGGCAGATAAATATTGACTTCCCCCAGCAGTGCCAACTCCCGCAAACGGAACAAGGACTACGATTTACCGATAGGCACATCTAATTTTCGAACTCTATATCGAACATAATTGGTCAAATTAAGCAAAAGTATTTAAGTTCACGTTCCAGGTTAGGAACGACATCCTTCGGGATCGCCTCTTGGGAGCTCAACATGCATACGTAAATGGTTGTTGTTGTTGTTGTTACAGCATACTATATCCACAAACTGTTTTTGGGGAGTGTTGCTGGAGTGAGTCGTTTCGGTTACGTAGACCCGACTGTCATCGGAACGCTTGGGGTCAAAGCTGACCCTGTAAGGATAATACACCGCATAATCATAATAAGTTTTAATTTTTAAATTATATTGATTGTAAATGTCAGACTGCATCTCAATGGTCTTACCATGTATTGTTTTTATCATGATACTACCTATGTATGTACATACAAGCTTATGTGCATATCGACACCTGAGTGGAAGATCCACCTCTCTCGGCAGCCAGTTTGAAAAATAAATTAAATTACAAAATAAAATTACATATTTAAAGGAGTTTTTTTTTACCTAATTTGTGCACAATAAAACGTAACTCATAGAAAACATAGTAAACACGTTTTTTTGATCGAAAGCGTTTATTACAGTTAAATTAGCGTCGAACACTGATACCCTAAGTTAATTTATTCCGGCCGTCCCACAGACGTATACAAGTACTAGGTTGCTGTGTGAAAATTACGTAAGCATTCATAAATGGTTGTCAAACCCCAGGAAGGTTTTGCACCATCGCATCGCAATGTTTTCTACACAGGGTTAAAGTTCCCCCTTGTTGGCGAAAATTAGCATTATTTTTCTTTTCATTCGGTTATCCTTAGAAAAACTTGGTGCTTAATATTTTAGTGTAAATTTTTGCCATCTATAAGCAATTTGTAAAGAGTGGGTCCAAAGGCATGCTCTGATGGGCGTTGGTGGGTAAAGCTGTCGGAAAAAATAGATCACTCTTTTTTTCAATCTAAAACCCGCAAAAAATCGTAAAAACTTCCTAATTTAACATTACAATAGATAAGATTATTACAAAAATTTATTAATAGCGACATAAATTACTCCAATAACTAAACTTTTTAATTTTTTTATTTATTTAAATTTAAATAATACGGCTCTGAAGAGAAGATAGATAACCATAGATGTATGTATGTACATATATACCTCAGACCTTCTTCTGTTCGCCCATCCATCAGCGCCAGGCACTCAACATTTTAATTCAAGTAGGAAGTAACAATATTTAAATTTAAAACTAATTTAAGAATGAACTAAATAGAATTATAATCTGAATTGGTATGGCGAATGCCTAACGCTGACGAGATACCAGCCCCTTTTTTTTTTAAGTTGACCACGCCGCCGCCGCTAAGCCTGTCGGCGTAAACCTCTATTTTATTAATTGTCGTAGGTGCTGAAGCTCTTAAAACTTGAGTACTATTGACATTGACATGTTTACAACGCCTACGCTTGCTGCAATTTGCAACTGATTAGTCTATGAAGTGGACGCTTACGGGATACTACAATTATTTGACGCTTCGTTTTGAGGTTTTTTAGAAATCGTAATCATCGGAAACACGTTGCCAACTTTTAGTTTGCATGGAGGCCGAGACGCCTTATTGTATGTACATTAGGGTGGTCAAAAATAATTTTAATGCTCTCACCCCCTAGGATAGTTCTATATCGGGAAAAATATACCCCTATTTTTTATTTTTATATTTCGAACAAATATTCATTCATGCGTATAATCTGCTTGTAGTGAAAGCGAGGTTGTCTAAATGCCAGATTTAGAACTAATTTAAATAGCGTTTAATTGTAAGGTACTAAAAAATTTAAAACATTAAAAAGACCCTTACAAATCCAGGAAACGCCAGCCGCGTTGTCAACACAAGCCCTCGGCACGTGTGCGGCAACATACGATCTCTTCCTATCTCCGGCAACGCTAAACCAATCAGCGACATTTATAAACCGACCAACGCTCACACAATGCTAACAAACAAATTTGACGACAAAAGGATTTGTGTTTAGCGGTATAAAATGCGGCCAACAAATGTAGAAAAAAGTCGAAATAAAATGCATTGCTGCATTTTAAACTTCACATTCATCAGTTGATGCTGTGGATTTTTACTTACATTAAGTGCCAACCGTTGGCGGCAATGTCTGCGTGGATTTTTAGATTTTGAGTTTTCAGTGCGCGATTTGGAAAACAACAAACACACAACAAAAATAATACAGGGAATTTGTAAAAGTTAGACATGCGACGTGTATTATGGGGCATTAAGAGCATGAAGTGCGCTTTAAAAGTGGCAGTAGCAGCAGCAGCAGCAACCCGCATAATCCCAGGCGTCAGCAAACCCAAAACAAGCAATGTAACCACCAGCAACAACAATGGAAGGAAAACGTAAAATGAAGTAAGTAATAAAATGTACATAAAAGGTTGGCAAATGAAGCGCTTGAAATCGATGTAGACTGGAGTGTGGGCGCTTTTTACTCCAAAGAGGTGGGAGGCATGCATATACAGTGACTCAAACAAATGACCCCGTGTTGATTTTTTTTTTTTAATATTCGTAATGTTTTTCAAGCTACATTGTTTTATAAAAATACCATCCAAGCTTTAAACAAAACCATATAAATCACAGTTTCAAAATTTATAAAAAATTTGGGAAAATTCATCAAAATTTAAACTCGTTAATCTGAATCTTTAGAACATTTTTGGGTATGCAGTTTTATTGCCCACACAATTTTTGTAAATTGTACTAGTTATATAAAAAACCCGCAAAAGCAGTCTCCAAAAAAATTTTCTCCAAAATCAACGCCCGTTGAAACCTGCATTTCATTGGACTAAAATTGTATGGGCTATAAAACTGTGTACCCAAATATGTTCTAAAAAATCAGATTAAAAAGGTGAAATTTTGATGAAAATTTATTAAATTTTTCCTAAATGTTGTATAAAGTTTGAAACCGTGATTTGTATGGTTTTGGCTAAAGCTAGCATGGAATTTTTTTAAGAAAAATAACAAAAAAGAATTAACTCGAAAAATATTATGAATATTAAAAAAAAATCAACACGTGAGTCACTGTACTAACATACATACATATGTATGTATGTATGCTTGTGTGGCCGCCATTTTTACACAACTTCTATGTATGTGTGTATTTGGTTTTGGTGTGAGTTAACTGTGCTTTGTGTTTGCGCGCTTATTCCCTCGACGAACCCAAAACAGAAAAAGTTTTGCAAGCCATACTTAATTCGCTTTATTTTCAACGAAATCCACTCGGATTTGCCTTTCAATAAAAATGCAAATTTTTCAACACCTTCTACGCATTTGCTGTTCGCTTGCATTTCTTCTTTGCCCTTTATATCAGTTTTTATAATACTACCTCACCTTTAATGCTTTTGGATTTAGCATTTTTTATAGAAGCAATTTTTAATTTTTTTATTTTGTTTTGTAGTGTCTTATCTCCTTTGAATGAGGAAATCCTAGTTTTGTCTCAAGAATTTTTTGTGTCTGTATTGCTGCCATTACTATTCTTGCCCACTTGCCTATTTTGCCTCTTACTTTCTTTTCCCTTTTTTCCAACCTTCCAATTTTATCTGAATTTTTGTTTGTATGTTTGCTAGTCTATTAGTTATTTATTTAGCTTACCTTCACTTGCGACTCTGTCATTCCTAAGGCATAGGCGAGTTTCGCCCGTTCTGGCCCCGCCAGATATTTCGTTTGTTCGAATGTCTTTTCCAGCGCAAATATTTGCTGGCCACTAAACGTTGGGCGGGTGTGCTTCTTCTTGCCATCCTTATCGTTGCCTTGATGATGTTGATGCGCCTGTGAGAGACTCGCAGACACTGGAAAAAAGTGGAAGGAAGAGAGAAGGATCGTGTAAAGATAGTTTAATATTTATGTATAGAAATATATTTAATAAATATAAATTCACAGAAAGGGTTAGAACTTTATTACGATCATAGTAGATCCATAATGATTTTCGAGAAAATTTACTACGCCTCTCTGATTCTCCACTTCTTCATTTTCTTTCAAAAAAAGGATCGCCTGCTAGCAGTATCTAAACCCAAAAAAAAACTAGAAGTCTCCCGTTTTAAGTCTTACAGAAGTATACTTTAGAATATTTAACAAAGAGTAAATTAAATTTTCGTAATTCCTGATTTCTATTTATGTATCTACATCCATTGTAGTATCCGTATTTATACCCTGACTACAGGGATAAAGAAACGTATTAAATGAAGCCAAAACATCGAGCTTCGGACAATCAGGAAATTTCTTGTTATACCACTCAATATTATTTTAGGGTACCTACTTGCGCCCTAATAACTTACAACCTGGCAGACGCTTGCTAGAAATTGAAGCACCCTTAAGGAAGTCAAAGATTTCACTTTGAGATTAGAGACAAAATCTGTACCTACATGAAATAACCATTGTGTCTGATGGTGGTGCTGATGTTCTTATGTTCGTCGATTCTAGGTTATCGAGCTGCCACAAAAACAACAAAAACAATAATATTTTGTACTTACAGATTTTGGCTAAGATAGTTAGCCAAGTTAGATAAGTTTTAAGCTGGCATTTCAGGGTACTATTTTATATATATATAAGGAAAATTTTTTAATTAAGGCTTATATTTTAATAAACACCATATTAATTTAAGTATGAAACTGTGTACGAAATTGAGGAAAAATCTGCGAAACTTCACCAAAATTGAAAGATTTCAAAAATTTGTCAAGTTTTATAGCCCATTGAGTTCTAATAATAATGAACCGAATTCAAATGTCTGAAAATTCGCATTGATATTTGATAATTTTTTTGCTGCCCGTATTAGGGATTTCTTTTCCATCATGCGAAAGTCAGTTTGTTTGTTTGTTACGCTTTCACGATTTAACTACTAAACAGATCATCATTGCACGCGGATGTCATTTAGCCCAACTTATAATATACTTAAATAGGACAGCTTTTATCTCGATTAGACAAGGGGGCATGGCACCTCTCATACGAACATAATTTTTCATACTGCATACCTCTCGAAATATTTATGGTAGAGTACTGGACTTGTTATGGAAATATTTTAAATCAATACCATCTCATGGACAAAAATGGACGTTATTGGAGAAGGGGGCTTGGCACCTCCCATACAAACTGAATTATTAAAATTAAATTCAACTTGAATTAAGAAAATTAGGTAATTGAAATATGTTATCATGAAAGAAGTTTAGGGACCAGTTTCTCAATGTCGTTATCGACGTTATCGACTGTTATATGTTATGGAGTCGATCATGTCGATAACGATGTTTAACCTGCAGATAGTGTTAACCAGACATTGAGAAACTGACCCTAAGAAGGTTGGCTTTTGAAAATATTTTGAACAGGGTTACCACCTGTTTCAAAAGTGTAATGAAATTAAATTACACACAAGTATGTATATGAAACATTAAAACGAAAGATTGTCAAAAATCTTTTGCTTGAACATTTAGAACAGATTTTAGAGTTTGAACAGGGTTGTCACCCGTTAATTTATTAAATTCAACACTAATTGTTTGTTAGGTAAGTTTAATGAATTATTACAATATGGCTATCAATCGAAGTAATTTTGGAAAGGCCTTATTTCTAAATGACATTTAGGAGGGTTGCCAAATGTTTAAAAATAAAATTCAACTTTAATTAAGGAAACTAGGTACTTGAAATGTGTGCCCCAATATGGGTGCCAGACGAAAGAGCTTTAAGAAGGCTGTACTTTGAAGATGTTTTGAAAAGGGTGACACCTGTTTCAAAAGTCGAATTTAATTAAATTATATTAAAATATGCGTTTAAAAAGAAATAGTGTTAAAAAACGTTTGTTTGAACATTTAAAATACTTTTGAGGTGTTTGAAGAGGGTTGCCAGTAATATTCAAATTAATTAATAAGTTAAATGAATTATTGAATATGGGTATCAATAGAAATGGTCTTGAAAAGCCTCTTTTATAAACTACAAGTATGAGGGTTGCCACCTGTTTAATAAGCTAAATTCGACTTGAGTTAAGGGAATCGGGCAACTGAAATAAGTAGTTAATAAGGTTTAGCTTGAAAATGAAAAAAGTGAAAATCTCCTATGTTTTTGGCTAAGTTTAACTATGTACATATGCTGAGTTTACACCCAGAATATTAAAATATTTTTAGAACTTTTTCGAAAAAATCACCATATGCCCAGTGGTGTGAATAACTGTAAATATGTATACATAAAAGTATTATTTTATTAATTTTCTATATAAAAATCGAATTTATATTTTTAACGAATCTTCACCGCTTATTATACATTTTTCCGTTTTTTTTACAAAATAATACATAAAAGTATAAAAACCACAAATATTCGTATTTCTCGTTAATAAATTCGAAAACGTCCATTTGCTTGCCAAATCGATTGAATATCACCGCATATAAATTACACAAAATTCGCTTACTTTAACCAAAAATAATAATTACACACTAATTAGACATTTAAAGTAAACAATTACATCTAGCAAATCGAATCAATGCAAATGGAGCCAACTCCAACCGAAAACAACCACAGTAACTGTACATACATACATACATACATATGATGAGCCCAAAAGTATGCCTCCCGATTGGCTCCACACCGGCACATTTGCACACAGCGCGCTGGCCATTTAGAGCCGCCCGATGGCCATCAAATTAACAAACGCAAATTGTCCGCAAATTAATTACGTTGGACGCATAGAAAATATACATTAAACTATATGGCAAAGAAAATTACAACAAATTACGTATGCCTCGGAATGTTCAAATAAATATGTACATATGTATATATATGTGCATAGCAATTTGTTGAAGCGTCCTCTGGCGCCATTTTCATTTTCATGGACAACATGAAAATCAATTAGCCAAACAGGCGACGTACAAATCCTCGCAGCGTGGCAAGAGCACTAAAGCCCAAAGTGACGAGCAGGAGTGCGCAGCAGG